TACATTTGTTGCCATCATCATTCTCAAAACATTTGCTTTCTACTTGAGTCTTTGGTATCAGCTCCTCATTTTTCCCCTCCCTCCTTGACCCCCTTCCTCATGAAACCTTGATAATTTATAAATTATTATTATTTTGTCATGTCTTACATTATCCAACATCTCCCTTCACCCATAAAGTAGAGTTCTTGCCTTTGACAAATAATCAGGGAGACAGAAAGAAGTCTTTTACATGAGTAAAAGTTTATTTAAAAAGAAGGAGCCTTGAAGTGTTAGTGGAGACAAGGAAGGCCCTTAGGCTACTCTGATCCTCATCTCTTGGAAGTGAAAGAGCTCTCAGTATATATATTTTTTGTATGCTAAGGGTCTTATACATATTCATTAAAATTGGGCGGGTGGGGAGGGTGAGGAAGGAGGCATTGCCTGGAGTAGGCTGGACTATGTTAATAGGGCACGCGTGCAATTTGCTCTCCAAGATGGAATCTGCTGCAAGGGCTTCTGGTATCAAAGGGCTGTGGGATTGGCTCGTGTACTCTAGTACTCTGTGTACTCCTGCTTTCAGGCAGGACGGCTCAGCCAGAGCTAGCTCTTTCTGAAAGATAGCTTTCAAAGAAAGCTTGTCTCCTTTAGCACCTCGGGAAGTACATGTGGTAGGGTGCAAGAACATGAGTCTGTAGCTGGAACATCATTTTGTGATGATGCAGTTTCATATGTGTGTAGACTTCTTCAGCCAGGCTAAGCATGCTCGTTGTGGAGATCTCTGGGCCAACTACCCCGATCTCAATGATTTCATTGAGAATTATCATCTGTAGACCTCTGGTACTATTACACATTTGCCCAGACATTCGTTTCTAAATCCAGAATCTTCATACATTGTGCATGATAAGTGGAAACTGTACTTTGGGGCATTTTGACAATTAGAATATAAAGTCATGAACTTAAAGGTAAGTAATATTTTGCAGTATCACAGACGCATGTTAGAGGCATAAGTGCCGTCTTCGTTTTTTCCAGTGACTAAGGGGACGAAAGCCGGATTCCCACATTGGCAGGACTGAAACAGCTTAGGCTTTCCGTTTTCCTTGGATGGAGTGCTGTTCTCACACACCAGTCTGCACCAGTTGGAAAAGAAAGCATTGGTAGAACTTGTGATTTGTGGCTGATTTAGTGCTCATCTGCTTATGTTAGGCACCAGCTTGTTCAAGTGGCAGCGGTAGTCTCATTTTGTGCAATAAATGTATCAACCTATCTTGACAAGAATTTATTTAGATCTTCTACAGGTGTTTTGTTTTTTTTTTGTTTTTAAAGAAAATAGGTCTAAATCCACCAGCTACTCTGAGGGAGAAAGATACAGCTGATTGCTCCCATAAAGATCTACAGCCTCTATGTAGGTAGTAGTCATGCTTTTTCCCTAGGGAAAAAGATGAGGCGGTCTGCTCCCGTAAACATTGACAATCTCAGAGACCCATAGGGACAGTTCTGCTCTGTTGTATAGGGTCACTGTGAGTCGTAATCGTCTCGGTAGCAATGAGTTTGGTTTGGAAATGTGTATGACAATCGATAGCGTACTTGTGGTCTAGGCTAAACTACAGGTGTATGCACAACTTTCTAATTCTAATTTCTAAATCACTTTGCCTGATATATTTTCACCATAGATTCAATTTTCCCAGTGCAGACTATTTCACAAATGTCTATGATGCCTCTCTAGTCACGTGAGCTAGACATTTAACCTGTTAACTGCCTCGTTGGTAGATAATGACCATGCTTTCTGGTACTAACTTGATGCCTGATTCACTATTTTTCTTTTAAATTGTCTTTTTAGTGTTGTTTTTGGTTGCCGTGTCACTGGCAATTTACTTTTAAAGCATCATTTTCTAAAAAGCATTCAAAATAAGAATTGAAGTACATCTTCATGCTTGCCACTAGATCAAATATGGCATTGCATATATAAAAGAAATGAAAATAGACACTCTTCGCCCAAGGTTATTGTACTAAAGTTTAAGTAAATGTGAAACAGCAGAGTGATAAAGCATATGTGACAAAGTTTTCAACAGCAAAAAATAGAAAGGATGTTGCTGGATTTCTCTGGTATTACACAATTGTGCCAAATGAATCTTGGACTACGTAAAAGCTCTAGTATGTTTCAGATTTTATCTTGCATTTAAATAAAAAAGGTATGGCTGTGAGTTCTGCCTGAACAACCTACTTAGCCCTCAGACTGATTGTCTGCTTCCTATCTTCTGCATTTGGAATGACCAGTTGTGGTCTCTGAATCGTAATGGACAGTTATGAGTTTGGTGCTTCGGTTTGGTCTAGTGGGTTCTAACTCATCAACAACCCCGAGTGTCAGCGTGCTCTTGAGGGTATTCATGGCTGGTTTCTCAGAAGTAGCGCTCCAGGCCTTTCTTCAGAGGCACTTCTGAAGTCCAGGTAGAATTGAACCTCCATTCCTGCAGGGAGCGGTTGAGTGCATGATTTATTTGCACCACGCTGGGCCACCCATATTTGCATCCTTTCTTTACATCCTGTGTGTCACTTCAGATTTGTATGTACAGCAGGGGGAGTTATTGTTGTTTCAGAACTCAGTACCTATTCTGAAAAGAAATACTCATAGGTAATAGAGAAATATTTTTTTTAGGAAACAAATCATATTCTAATTCTGAACCAATGAAGTTAAAACTGTAATTTAATGTTTATAAGTTTAGTAGTCATAATATTTCCAGTGGAAACTTAATTGGAGAGAATTTTTAATTTTTATGTCAATACAACTTATTTAGGATACAAGACTTTTTAAAAAACTTTCCTTGACTTTAATTTACAAATAATATATTTTTATTTCCTCATCAGTTATATATATGGTCAAAAAGATAAACCAATTTTAAGATCAGATGAATTTTTACAACACAAAGAGGGAGATCAGCTATAACCCCCATTCAACAAATATAAATGAGTCTTGATGAGTTGTATTATACTTTGTCCTTTCAGTATGGCTAATTAAGAGTTAATTGCATAGTTTTGATTCATTTATCGAGCACATTTCTTTGCTCCTTCAATCTATCTAATTTGGGTTAGTTTTTTGTTAAGTGTGTGTGTGCGGAGAGCAGATAACATTTTCTTTTAGAAGAACTAATACCAGACTAAATCCAAGGTGGTGGAGAGTAAAGATGTCCCAAATTTCAAGCCTGTCCAAGATGCTCACACCGCTCAGAGAGCTGGGTGAGCACAGTGGTGGACGCAGACATGCTCATGAGCAGAAGGGTGATGCAGGCTCTCCTGCTTTTGTCCATAAGGCCACCAAGAACCAGTTAACTTGGGGGCAGCTATAGGTCAAGGATAGAGTTTGATTCTTTCCAGACTGCTTCTTTTTCTGCAGTATTATATGTATGTGTGTCGTGACATTTGCACCAGTCAGGGCCCTGGCAAAAACAGGTAGTTTTTGAAGATACTTTATTGAAGGGACTATTTACAGAGGTCTGGACATGCTTCAAAGAGTTTTGGTGGCATAGTAGTTATGTGCTAGGCTGCTAACTACAAGGTCAGCAGTTTGATACTAGAATCTAGATACTTGATTTAGAATCTCCCACCTTTCTGTGAGGGCCACCTTTCCCCACACCTCAGTTTTCTTGCCTGAAAACCTACAGCTTCTCCGTGGAAGCTGCCAGGTGTGGGCAGGTGCTGTGGCCGGGGACAAGAGGGCTCTGCTGCTCGGTAAGCCCCTCAACCCCTAGCCCCCCAAGACCACTGTCTATGAGGCTTTCTACTCCTGTAAAGGGTTACGATCTCAGATACCCAAAGGGGCAGTCTTAATTGGTTCTATAAGTGACCTTCATGTAGCTGCACTTTCTGACCTGAGGTTTCTCATTACAGAGTTGTACCTCAAGGAAGGTCTAGGCTTTGGCTTCCTAAGACTAGCCGTGCATTCTCTTTTTGAACATGAAGGGCTTCTTGGTTTACCATCCCTTAAATCAATGTATACCTTCTGTTCCCTAGTAGAGATTAATCCAAACTAAAACCAAGCTCACTGCCCTAGAATCAATGCACAGTGACCCCACAGGGCAGGGTCAAACTGCCCCTGTGGAGAAGTAAGCCTCGTCTATTTTTCCAGCAGAGCTGCTTGTGGTATTGAGCTGCTCACCTTGCAGTTAGCAGCCCAGTGGCCCCCTTAACTCATTGCTGGATCTTAGGGGCTTATCCTCTTGTGCTCCTGATCTAACATGTAAACTTTTGTGCTGGCGCTCTTTTATTCTCTATCCTTCAGAATTTGTTTTGAATGCAAGTGACTCAAGACCCACATAATATTGGCTTAGGAAGGTAGACTATTTGTTTTTATTTCACTTAAATAGAGGCCGTTTCCTGCTCATTGCTGCTGTGGGTCCCCTTTATCTCTGTGTCCTCCTCCTTTGCCCACGGTGGCTGTTAGCACCTATCCTGCTGTCTTCCAAATAGCAGGCAGGAGGAATAAGTAAGAAGTAAATGCCCTCCTCCCAACATCACTGCTCTCATCCTGTAAATCAGCAGTAGTTAATGTAACCCCAAACCCACTGCTGGTGGGTTTGAACTCCTGATGTTACAGTTAGCAGCTCAACATTTACCCAACAGCATCACTAGGACTCCTTGTTAATGTAGCCACAGCTATATGTTAATGAGTCACACCATATATTGGAAATACATAACTGGCTAAAATTAGCGATTTTAAAATTTTATCATAACTCAAAACTGGCTGGAGTTGTATATCCACAGAGAACAGCCAGAAATCCAAACTAGATTCAGACAGGGAACATGCAGTATCATTGCTAACTTAGATGAATCTTGGCTAAGAGTAGATAAGCCCAGAAAGATGTTTACCTATGCTTTATTGTCAAGTGCAAAAGTACGTGACTATATAGATCATAAAAAATTATGGGTAACACTGAGAATAGATATTCCAGGACACTTAATTCTGCATACATAGGACCTGTACATAGACCAAGAGGCAGACGATTATTT